AAGTATATATATAAAAAATTAATAATTCAAGGTTATCACAGCATTTAAAAGAATTCAAATGGGAGGTGGGTCTGCTACATGTTTTTACACCCGAAGAGCCCTAAGGTTTGGGAGACCAACTAATTTCTCAGTGTTGCATGTGGCTATGGTACCTGGTATGGGCTGAACTGAGAGCCCAACTCAACGCCCAGCATTTTAAAAGCTGAGCTGCATGTGGACTCCCTTGTCTCTTTTTCCACGGCAGATTCAAGCTCTGGTTTTGCAGAAAACAAAAAGAGAATAAAGTGCTGAATAGAGCGGGGGACCCTGGTGGGGTGGGCAGAGACACGAGCATCCCTCCAGGGCCTCTCGGTTGCTTTTCTTGACTATCTGCCCAGGGCAGAACGGCGCCAAGTTCATGAAATATCGCTTTAGCCTGAACAACAGTTGCTGGAAACATCATCAAGGCATGTGACGATGATCAGAAGGGGCTGGTCTGTGGGATGGGGCTAGCAGAAACATGCACCCTCTGGAGAAAAAAACACATCAGGAGGCTTCCCTGCTCTGTGAGGATGAAATCCTGCTCTAGATTGAAGCTACAGGTTTCTGCACAAGCCATACGCTGTTTCCTCTGGCTGAAAAGTCCTCAAACTGCAGCCAATGCATCTTTGTCTATGGTGACCATTTGCAGCCCAGAAGCACCTTGTAACCTCCTTTTGCAAGCAGCTGCCACCCCTGGCAACTCCATGGCTGGTGGTGGCCTCCTCCTCCCTTGCCTGCATGTTTCTGCAGGGTCACCCACAGCTGGACTCGAGCTGCTCTGCTGCCAGTGACAAAAATTCCTGAGTTTGATTTAAGGAACCTAAAATACACCTAAGAAATTCAAATGGGTGAGAGGGGTCCTTAATTTGCCTTTTCAAACCCTGTCATGCCCCTACAAGGATTAAAGCCCTGCCATTAGGTACCAGAGCTTGCTTCAATCCTAGGTTTCCCTCCAATCTCTGCAAAGGGCCCTGAAACACCATTAGAAGGGGAAGGTTGCTATGATAGCAGGGCTTTGCTGGGGTCAAGTTCCCATCCCAATGCCTTGCTGAACCTACACAGGTGATTGCAAGTCTTTACTTCCTTCCCAGGTCTTGAGGAGGTTTGCAAACACAACCCTTTGATCTCAGAAACTCCTTAAGGACAGGAGGTCATTGCCATTTTCCTGTGGGCTCCTCCCTCAACTTTGATTTTTATCTTTTGGTGCAAAACAAAAACATCTGCACGCAAGACCCAAGCCCCGTGCAGTAATTTTCCATCAAGTGTTTTGGTTACAGGCAGTGAAACACTTGCAATTCTTTGCATCTCAGCAAAGGCACACTGCTGAGTAGTGGCATTGGTTAGTCATGCAGTGATAATAGAAACTGCTTGGGGACTGTGCTACACTCCAGTTCAGCAACCCCATGCTTCTTACAAAATCCAGTGCATGATTTTGCCATATAGTTGTAGTTTGCACTCAGGTCGTGTAAACACAATGTGTCCTGGTGTGACAACATGCATGCAAGGTGACTTGCTCATGCAAAGCAGATGGTAGGGCATCGTCATGTCAAGGAGCAAATGAAAACCAAGTCTATACTACTGGTGATCTTGCATTGGACAAGCTTCAATGCATGCTATGAAATGGTCAAGGTGAAATAATGGATTTGCTTTGGTTTGTGATGATTAGGATATTGAGGGTGTTACCTGACAATAATCTTTTCTCAAGGGGTGGCTGCTGCATGGCTTTCTCAGCTGCTGCTGGAGGAAAAGGTGCGTGGGTTTGGATTATAAATTATGTTTTCTCTCCAATCCAAACATTATTTGACAATATGGTAAAATACAAAAGAATTAATCCCCGCATGGTACTTACATGGTTTTAAGCATTTCCTAACGCACTCAGCTTCAGCCTCAAATCTATTGGCATTACCACCGCAGCCACCATACCAACCCTGGCTGCAGATCTTGTTTTTGTAGTCAAAGAACCACACAATCTGATAGTCCTTGCACTGCATGCCCATGTCAAAGTCCAGCAAGCAAGGGTCTGGCCAATCTGCATGTCAAAAGGTGCAAAGGTTAAGTGACTCTGAAAGGGTTAAAAGCTGAAAAAGCAAAGAGATTGAAAAGAAAAAAAGAAAAAAAGCCCTGTACAGGACTGGTGGCATTTCCTTGTCATGTGACTTTTCTTGCTGAATGCAAACCTTCTCCAGCCTCCAGCTTGCCTCTCCCTGCTCTTAATTTTGTTGCACATCCAAGCCCCAAGTCCCTGGACCAAGGTGGTGAGAACCCCTTACTCCCTGCTGGTGCACGCAGGATCAGGCCCTCATACAACTCCCCCCCATCTATTTTCAAAGCTATTTGTCTTGGCAGTAACTTTTAATCCTTAAGTGTGTTTATTTTATCTCTAAAGGTGAGCTGCACCTGGTAGAATTTAAGGCTCGATGAGGATTTAAACATATGTTCCTTTCCTGCCCAGAAATGATAATTTAGGTCCAAATCCCAGTGTTTTCATTAGCAAAGATAGGCCATCCGTGCTAGCAGCTGCTTTGCCTATGTAAGGAGGGCAGAATCTGGGAATTCCTCTGAGGTCCAAAGGAATATTTACGCATGGGTCTCTCCCTTTGCACAGAGAACTACAGAAGACTCAGCTAAACAACCCACCCCAAATTCCCTGCACTGTTTAATGTCTTTAGCCTGGTGAAAAACTTCAGATTAGCTTCCTAAGGGAATGTTCCCCCCAGATTGCTGGTTGCCATAAATCCTCGGGCAGAGACGTTTGCTGCAAGTGGGTCAAGAAGAGGAGATTGAGAGGTCTGCATCTAAACACAAAGTCAGGACACAGCACATCCATTTTCCTTCAGGCAGACCTACACAAGCCTACACACCTTGTTTCCAAAGGGCTGGCACACAAGGGGTTAAACAAAGCCATGGGGTGTGTGTCACCTGGTGGGGACAAGGCAGATGAAGGCTTCAGAGGGGATGTCAGTGCTGGGGGAGGGACCAAATGAGTGGGAACTCATGGGAAGGGTGGGATGATAGGACATGCAGCAAGGCAGAAATGACATGGTCCTTGCCCAGCACAAGCTCTCGGCCTCTTTGCTGCAGCAAGCTCCGGTGGTACCACCAGCCAGGCATGAGGTCCATGCTCATCCCTTTCAACATGAGCAGTCAGAACGCAACAGCAGCTTTGCAACTCTTGGCTGAGCGCACTGAGCAGCAGCATTTCCCCATGCTCTCAAATCACCTCAGGAAGAAAATGAGCCACAGTGCAAGCAAAATATTTAGAGAAAAACACGAGAGTGATGATTCAGGGATGAGTTTTGGTTGCCAGATCTGTAGTTGGTGCCTGTGACAGGGCTGTGCTGCTTTATGAAGGCTGAAAGCCCTTCCAGACCCTTGGAGGAAGGGTTGCAGCCTGGCACTTATGGTACAACTGAGTGTAATAGTGCCGATGTAATGAGCTTGATGTCAACAAAAGCAATGAGACGACGTATTAACAGCTACAGTGATTATGGGTTATTAACACAGATTAACAGGATTAACAACAGAGTAGGAGCTGACAGCTTGCTCATTTAGCAGTTTACTACATACACCACTGGTGGTAGAGAAACAGGGGATGGGCAGGTGGATGAAACTGGAGGGAGGCTACCAATTAGCCAAATTTATGCAAATGTTTGACATGAACTCCCCTACAATCCCTGACTGTTGGTCAAGTCCTTGCCAAGAGCTGTGTGTTAAACCAAGGAGACAAGACCTATTCTTTGCCCTAAATGGGGAGCAAGAGTGCGAATGAGCATCAGGTGATGTTCTGCATCTACACCTGCATCTACACATGCTAGTGAGGCCATGATGTTGAAGGCTAACTCTGAAACTCAGCTAACATCGTATCAGGCCAAGGTGTTTTTATAAGCTGACAAGTAAAGGACACTTAATCATCCCTAATCAGAAGAACAAACATTTGGTATCCTTTAACCAAAGACATCCCTGAGCAACGAGACCTTGAAGAAGAACTGAAAAGCTGATAAAAGGGAACATCCTACCCCAGAAGGCACCAGAAAAACTGGACAATTGCTGAAAAACAGTAACTGGGGGAAAGGTAAAAGCAGCAGGGGGAGATCAAGACCACCAACTCAATTTAGGACCAAAAGGATTTGCCACCCCATACCCATAAGGAGCATGTGTGCTAATTTACATAGCAAATGAGGCTAACTGGAATATAGTTGACCAATAACAGATAGGATGGTAATTACTAACCAATCACCTTAAAAAGGATAATTACTAACTCCGTAAGTTTTGTGTATAAATAAGGCACAGAAAGTCTCATTTGGTATGCTAGCTTCGTGGAATTACCACCTAGCACCCATCTCTGTGCAGAAATGAAATAAAATCAATATCTTGACTCAGTGTGTGAGTGTACCTGCACACCAGGTAACGAACTCCCTTTGTGAGACAGCAATGGGGCACAGCCTGTCCCTGGAGAGCAGCCAGCGCTTGGGCCCTGGATCATCTCCCATCCTTGCGATGGAAGCAGGACCTGGTTTGAGTCCCCATGAAGATAACAGTGCCTTCAGAGGACTCTGGATCCAGCATGGGGCAGAGACTCCAATACAGGGCTCAGGTCTGCATGGACAAGGCGGTCATCTGGCTCATAATCTGCTGGCTCTGCAAAGCAAAGGACTCGCAGATCCTTTGCTCCTAGCAGAGCTCTGAGAAAGGCCGGGTTAGGGAGCAGGCAAGGGGAAGACCGGTGCTAATGGCCAGGCTCTCTGTGAGAGTCCTGGCAGAGACCCCAGCACAGCACTCCTACCATCGTCCGTACTCACCACTCTCAGGCCCTTCCAGTGGCTCGGTGTTGAGCATCATGTTGGCCAGGGACACCTTGGGCTGCGCCAGGGTCTCTGGAGGGGGAAGAAGCAGTGAGGTCAGCCAAGGGGAAGAGAACCTGCAGCAGCACCCTCGGCGCAGCCATAAACAAACTCACTGGCCCCAGCTCTGGCATGGAGGATTCACACAAGTCACAGGAGTCGGGTCTGGATCTGTTTGTCCTAGCACATACGTTTCAGAAATGTTTATTGGAGGCAGCTGATGGGATGAGTAATCCACAACTGCCTAGCCACACCAGGATGCGTTCACCTTGCTCTCCCCAGCCGGCAGCTCTGCTGCAGTCAGGCTCATCCTCGGGGGTGACTGTGAAGGAGCATCCCCAGCACCCTACATGACTCTGCTTTGGATGCCCCCTGCTCACCCCACAGCATACAACTGGAGGGCTCTGGAGGAGCAGATGTGGCCTCTATATAGCCAGCTTAGCTTTACTCTTCTGGCCTTAGAGAAGGCAGGGAAAAAAAGCATCCTCCAGAGGAGCAAATAGTCTATGATGAATCTTCTCTTGTTCCCCTGCAGCCGTCAAGGACTGTCCATGCATTACATGCCTCTCCTTGACCACACTCCTCCCATCATGGCCTCATATCCTTCTAGAAACTACATTGTTGAGGACTGTCACCAGGAGAAGAAACCCTTTGTGATGGAAAGGAGATCATGGTTCATATTGCATCATGCGCTGTATGACTGCACTATATTGCATCATGCCCCTTTCCAGGGAAACCCATGGTTCATTTTCCATGGGGCTGGAGGGCAGGAGGAGGCTGGAGCTACAGGAAGGGTTGGATTTGCTTTTCTCTGGTGGAGGGTATGAGTGTGGGGACAGTGCTACCCAGTGTACAGGTCACAGCTTGTGGGCATAGGTGGCATCACCGCTGCCTGCCCAGTTTGTTTCTGCTTGAGATTTACCGTATGGGAAACGCAGCTTGCCTGGGCATTGAGAGCTCCAACTTAGCACATGCAAATGTTACTTCTACACATTGATGTCTTTTCTCAACATTTTTGTGGGCACATTTATTGCTTGCGAAGGCAAGAGACTTCAGACCTGATCCAAAGCCACTGAAGCCAATGGAAAGGCTCTCTGTGGGCACTGACATTGACTCTGAAGTGCCAGAAGAAGCCAGATGCAGCACGGGCAGGACCAGCGCAAACTTCTCCACACCACTAAGCCAAGTCACCTCTACGCCAAACTATATAAAAAAAAATTGGCTGTGTCTTACATAGCAACTTCTGGCCATGCCAAAGGGTTTGGTGAGGTTTACATGTGATCTGTACATATGGAGCTTGGATCCCCAAAGGACTAAACCCTCTGTTTAAGTTCTTCGTTGTGGGGTTTTTTTGGATAATATAGTATGTGAAGCAGATAGGTGGCTATGGAAATGGTGAATGGAGAAGAAGCTCTTCTTGCTTATTTTGCAGTCAGGCTGGACTGAATTTACTCTGTGTTAACCCAGTTTGACTCGTTATTAATTGCAGCAATGCTGGCTGGACCCCACTAAGACCCATTGTGCAAAGCCTCCTGCATGCATAATAAGGCAAACACCACTCTGGGACTAGCTTTAATTCTCCCACAATCTGTGTCAATTTAACACCACTGAAGTGTCAACTTGCATTTGCCAAAGAAACACATTTGCAGCATTTCATAACCAGGTCCTGCTTCTGGTCTAGAGGATGCCAGACATGCAGTGACACAACTGAGCATTGCCAGGGCTAGGATCGTTGGTACCAGCTGATTCCCCATCCCTTACATGTTTTTTTCCATTATTTGTTTCCATTCTATGAAAAATAAATGTTTGTGTATTTTCCTCAAGAGGTACTTACTTGTGCTGAATGTCCCCGTGTAGGTAACTTTCGGTTGTGATTTCTGGTAGCCGGTAATAACGACAAGGTATTTCTGTCCACTTCTGAGTCCTCGGATGATGTGCTCAGTGCCGGTCAGGTTTTGCTTCTGCACAAGAGAGTGGTCGTGCGCTAAGGTGACGGTGATATCAAAAGCGTAGGTGTTGTGTGGCTCAGGGCTGGCCCAGCGCAGCCTGGCACTGTTCTCGGTGACATCTGTGATCTGGATGTCATGGGTCTTTGCTGCAATGCAAAATCAGAAGAAACACTAAGCAAGGACTTGAAGAGGAAAGGTCTCAAGGAAGAAGTGTCTCAGTGCTGCAGGATCTCCTTCCCAGTCCACAGCAAATAAATTTGTCTGCAGCCAGTTGTGGCATGTACAAACCATGTTGTGCTATCTCAGATGCCCAACCCAGCACACTGCAGGGAGGCTTTTTTTTCATAGCCTAGATGATTTACCAAGTGGTTTATTTGGGTTTTTTTAATAATCTGCTGCAATCTAGCAAATCAAAGCAATTTTTAATGAGATTTACACAGACTGAAACGTGATTCCCAGCACAACTTTCCCAACAACCGTAAACGTGTCCAGTCAGATCCTTCTCTAAGGTGCAATGGATTCACCGAACTGCTGAAGATCTTCAAGCAAAACCTGCTTAAGATCAAACATAACCTTAGACAGGTCAAAGAAGTTATTAGGAAATGGTTTTCCTGCTATGGCAGGGTATTGGATGAGACCTTTCTAAATGCTGCTTGGAAGCAACAGTGGAGCAAGGAACACCCAGAAATGTTTGTTCCCCAGAAGCCAATAAAAGCATTAACATTGCAAAAGCCAATTGCTTTTATTTATTGCTTTTTATTTATTATTTACATGGGGACATGCATTCACTGAGTGGTTAAGCATCCCTATGCTTTAACACATTTTCTTTGCTACTTGTTCAGCTAGTGCAGAGCTGCCTGCACCCCCTGGCAAAAACATATGGGAAAACTCCTTTACATGAACTGTACTCACATGAAAGAGCTTTAGCATTCCCAAATAGGTCTCCACACTGATTCAGTGATGAACTAACTGAACTAATTATATTAGCTGACAGAGAATTCAAACAATGCCATTGTATGAATCACCATAAATAGCAAAACTTAGCCAAGGGGTAATGCTACAAGGAAAACATAGAAAGCAAATGGCCAACACTAGAAAGAGAAGTGCTCTGTCACTGTACTACTAAGATAGGCATCAGATGACAGATTGTCCCATGTTTAGAAGTCCTGCTTGTCTTTTGCCTAGAGGCAGTCTGCCCCCCACCTGCTTTTCCACAAAATTCTCAACACAAGTTGACAAAGCCTTAACCCCCCCCAGTGCAGATTTCCAGTTTTGCACCTAAAAACTTGTTTCTGCAAGCACGCAATTGGGCATCTTAGTGACATTTCCCATAGGAATAATCATCTCAGGGAGGAAAAAGCCACTACCCACTGTGGTACAGACAAGCAAGAGGCACTGCTTGCATGGGGAAAACCTTTCACATACCGCCTTGTCTTCTCCTGCCGCCTGCCGCAGCAGCTGTAGTGCTTGTGGTGCGGCCAGTGGCTTTGGCTTGGGCAGCAGTTCTTGCTGTGCTCTGTGCAGTGGTGTTCACCTGGACCATGGTGCTGGCTGTGGTCTGGTTGATGGCTCTGGTCTGGGCCGTGGTGCTGGCAGTGGTGGTTCTGGTACGAGTGTTGGTGCTTGCAACAGGCTTGATGCTCGCACTGACCGTGGTGCTGGTACTGAGGGTCCGGCTTACGGTCACGTTGGGTGCCAAGTACCTGTCAAAGCAAAAGCAGCTGGTATGGGGTTTTTTTACCTCCTATATAAGCAGAATTTTTGAAATGGAGAGGAGTTGACATAGAAACCATTGGCAAGAACACCCCCAAGGTCAATAGTCTTTGTCAGCTTTAGATATGCCCACAGGCAAGCAGTGAAAAGTGCTGCAGAGCACTGCCTATCACTTGGGGCACAAGTCTGTCTATACACCAGCTTTACACACATAAGAGTGAAATCAGTAGATAGATCTGTAACATGCCTGATTTCAAGGGGCTCAGCCTTCTAAAGGCAGGACAGCTCTGTGCCAGCGATGAGTGAGTCTTGGTGACACAAGCTTTCACTTCTGTTCAGAAAATATTAGGATATATTCTATGATGGATCCTGAATATCAGGTAGTCCAGGGCAGCCCAGCCTCTGAAAACAGTTCATTGAGTGGAAAACCCCAAATTAATAGTAATTTCTGGAATACCTGACCTGAATGATGACAGTAGCATATACCCCTTTCATATCCTTTATACATATATAAATATGAAATTTAACCCAAATTTAGAATTATATGTGTATTTGTCTACCCTTCTGTAGTAGATATATCTGTTGCTCTTTTGACACAGCGCTAAAGGAACTAATAAAGTGCTGATAATCCTGACTGTTAGCATTGAAGTTGCTTTTTCTTTCTTTTTCCAAACAGGGACTGGGAAGTGAAGGCTTCTCCCCAAGACAGGCTGTTAGCAAAGCTTATTCTCTTGCAGACAAAACACTACTTACACTTCTTTGTGCCCGGTATGCCTGGGGCTCTGGCTCTTGGATTGCTGATCACTCTGGAACGATTCACACTGTTTCCTTATCTCTGGAGACAGGTAGAACGCAAAGTCACCTAGAGACAGAGAAAGCCTGGCATTAAACACTGGTGTTGAGGATGGTGGTTACCTACCAAAAACACATTACACATATTTCTTCTTGATTAAAAAAAACCCTCTTCTCTTCTTGCTTGCTCTGATAAAAGCTATGGAATATCTCTTGACATTTGGTGCAGTTACTGCAGCATCCTGGGCTGGGAGATTTGTTATGCCCATTTACAAACATGAGAGCAGTAGCTATAAGATACCAGAGGGCTGTATGTCTTAGTCTGTCACATGTAAACAGCTTTCTTATAACAAGGCAGCTCTGACCACACAGTTAATATTTTTTCAAGAGTTAGATATTTCCAGGACCCCTGTAAGTGGTAAATGGAAAAAGCAAACTGAGAAAACCTAAACATTTATTTCCAGAGAAGGATGTGCTCATGTTTGCTTCCTATTCAGTGGCAATACATTCCTGAATCAGTGGTTTATTAGCCCAGTAGACTGATTTTTCAGGACTTTTTTTATAAAACTAGCTTTCCTAGAAAAGCCCCATTTCTTGTCTTTGCTGGCCAGGTCTGTTTAGGATCTCTGGCAGCTGGCTCTAGCTGGACATCCAGCCTGGGGTCTCTAGCTAAGCTGAGATACAAATTTCCAAGGCACAATCTGCACATCCCAAACACAGCAGCATGATTTATCCCTGAGCAAAGAATCCTGTTCATCTGGTCCTTAAGTCGCGTACAGCAACTCCAGATCTCAGCCTAAGCCATCCAAATGCCTGCGAGATGTAATATTTATACTGAAGCTGAGAAGAAAGATTTTCTGGCTGTTCAGGGAGCTCAGGGGGAGTGCTAGCAGGCTGCTGGGCTGCAGAGGGCCAAGAGCCCCAGCAGGACCAGACCCTGTGGGAGATGACGTAGATGTGACCGGCAAGTCAGGCAGGATTAAGTCAGATCCCACAGGTGAACCCATGGAGACCAAGTCAAACCAGACAGAAGTGCAAACTCTACTTGGTGGACCAACAGACTGCATGGAATGGGATGGGGAGGCCAAAGTGAACAAAACTGAGACATATTCAACTAGGTAGACCAAACTAGGTTTGTAGTTGAGCAGCAACAAACAGACCAAACAGTACAGAACATATAAAAAGAGACTAACTTCAGTGGGCCCCACTGCCCAAAGAGGTGGTCAGGCTAGAGCACACCCAAGCAACGGGCAGGCAGAGCAAACCTGGCAGATTAACCCCTCCGAGGTCACATGTTGTCCCTTCCATAATACTTTGGCTGCAGGATGTTATACTTACTTCTGATAAAAGACGGCAGCAGTCTCCCAAAGCGTAGTAAGGGCTCTTCATGAAGCTCTCCTGGTTTATCAACCAATTTGAAGAACACATCATTTGGCTCACTAGCTAGGCTATAGATATTCTTGGCATTCACCTTCCTGCCAATGCCCAAGATGACAAAGAAGTACCCTTTGCATTTTGCATTGATAACAACCTTCTGCAGGTACTCAAGTTCTTGTTTATTCACTTTTCCAGTCATCATCAGAACTATGACTTTTAGATCCCGAGGGTTTGGTGCACTTTCAAAAATATGAGCCATTGTGTGTTCAATTGCACTTCCTATAGCCCTTGTGCCATGGAGCTGGGTCATTTGGTTGTGAAGGTAATTAATGATCTTCTCTTTGGATCCATAATCAGTTAGTGAAAACTCAGTTTTTACTGGTGGGAAGCTTGAGTTGGTTTCATATTCATAAGGAGCTTGCTGGAGAACTGCCACTCTTGCATGGTGCTGAGATACTTTTGGCTCAGAGCTGATTTCCAGGTTACTTACGAGGTGGGAAATGTACTTCTTCATCTCGTTGAACTGCAGAGGGGTGGTGGACTCTGAGCTATCCATGATGAAGGCTATGTCAGTGTCTACATCTGTTGGGGCTGCCCTTCTGTCTCTGAATACAGGTCTCTGACTACCAAAACCACAGACAGGATCAGGGTCACACACATCTAGGGAAGAAATACAGTAGGTTTCACCTGGAAGAACTGAAGATGACCCTCCCTTATCATTGTAAAAATTTTGTGTCATATGAAATACTGTCAAGCTATGGACATTCACTGGTCCATTACTTGATACCAAAGTCACTTCATCCCAAAACATATTTAGCTATCCATTTAGAATTTTTACAAGCTCCTTTGTCCAAAAGGATCCCTGAAGTGCTCTGTCATAAGTGGCAGAAGGCCATATTTTAGAGCATTTAGCTATTGGTATTTGGGCTGTAAAAGTGGGAACTAGCCAAAAAAGGAGCTTCTCTTCACAAAGTGGAGAACGCCCAGCGAGCCTCATTCACAACGCCAATGTTTTCTGCTCAGCCTAAGAATATGAATCCCTTGTTTTCAGCAGCAAAAGGGCTTACTCCCAGCTGGGCTTTCCTTCTGCACCACTGACAGCTGACTGCTGCATGACCAGGATTTGGCACCGTCTAGAGGAGAAATTGGATGCTTTACCCAGACAAATGTGACAAGTCAAGAGTCTCCGGATAGTTTCATTCAGCTGACTGCCGCTGGTTGGAAGAACAATTGCATGTCCAACTGCTGTGTTGTTGATCTGGTTAGATGCAAACAGAAAAACATGGCATTAGTAATGTTGTCTTCTGTCATTTGCAGCTCAAAGTTAGGGGAGTGCAATCCACAACTCGAAGAGATTCTCCACTCAGCATGCTGCTTTTGGTGGATCCCATTTGGAGGAGCCTAATGCTCCCAATGTCAGTTAGTGGGACTAGTTTAGAAACATAAACTCCAAGAAAAGGGCCAAGCACTTGAATCAGTGCTCAGCGTGCTCCTCTGGGGTTTTTTTGTTCCTTTAAATTCCTGTACATCCACTCTCCCCCTGCCAGCAAAGCTACCATACTTCCACCTTCCCACCCTTTGCCTTTCTGTCAGACCTTTCTCACTATGGGGACTGTCTTTTCTTCTGTTTCATACCACAACTGGCACCCTGGAGCCATGGTCTGGGAAACAAATGACTCATCATAACCTCACTAGTGTTTCACAGCATGTGCTGTGTTTTGGATTTCTCTCCTAATAGACATGCTGGATGAGTTTGGCCATCAATGCTTTCTCAGTGCTAAGCACTTGAAAGGCCTGTGGAAGCCAACCACTGCCTGTAGGAGCAAACGCCATCAATATCCCCAGCAAACCAGACTGATGTCATGAGCAGAAAATGAAAGAAAGTGTGAATGACCCCAACCTCCAGAGCTCTGGTGAGAACTGGGTCCTGCCTGCTGGTGAGAAACACGGGCATGACCCCGGCATCGTAGAGTTTCAGCACAGCGTCATTGAGCTCTGGGGAGGCTCTTGTGTCCCCGTTGCTGAAAAAGACAGCCACCTTCCTCATAAGGAAGCCACTTCGGGCACGCTTGAAGGTATTCCTGGCCACAAAGGACATGGCGGTCTCCAGGCTGCGTGGCTTTGTGGTCAGAGTCGCCTGGAAGTTTTGGATCTGCTGGAGGAGGCTCGATTTCTTCCTGGCATCAGCAAAGCGGATCTCTGTGGTGACCTCATTGTTGTAGGTGACCAGAGCCACCCGGGCACCCCGAGGACAGTTGCTCTCAGCGATGGTTAAGTTGTTGACCACTCTGAGCACAGTTTGCTTCATCCTGTTGAAAACATCCCTCACGACACCCGAGGAGGTGTCGATAGCAAATGCCAGCTCAGTTGGGAAGACAGGGCACTCCTTGGGACCTGCCAGAAACATGCATTGGGAAGAAATAGTGCCCAAAATAGTTGTCAGGGTGCAAGGACCATGTCCTTGGCAGGGGTAAATCATTCATACTGCATACACGGGGAGAGAAACAATTCTGGCACAATGTCACACTGGGGTTTAAAGGACTGAAGGTGACTTACCATAGCAGCAAGCTGTGGAAAAGAGGGGGGAAGAAACACAGTTTTGTCAGTGTCATTCATGTAACATGATGGGCATACAAGGGTAGAGACAGGGAACTAGCAAAGCACTGATGTACTCACGGCATTTGTCTTTGATGTTCCGCACAAGTGCACATTGCTTTAGAAAATAAAAGAGAGGGAGAAAGGGAAAAAAAAAATAGATATGTGACACTGCCAACAAAAGAGTATTTCAAAACAAGAGATAAATGATGCCACACTTACATCTCTGGATTCTCCTTTATCACCTTTAAGTCCCTGTTTAAAAAATAAAGTCAAATTGAGTGCAAGGTGTATTTTCAGGGTGCCCCATGAACCCAGCTGGAATAATTGTTTAACCACAGGTCATGCAAAAGCTAAGGGGAAACCTGCCTGTTTTCAGTTGTGTTTCCAGCAACAGGAGGAAATCTTTTCCTGTGTGAGGAGTAAACCTAGCTAAGGCCAAACCCAAAAGTGACATTGATGATGATCTAGGTTCACATGCCAATCAAGCCAAGTCACCTTGGCCTTCCAGGGGTGCTCTGTGCCAGTCACATTTGGTCATGGACCATATCCTGTGTGGGATGATAAATTATAAAGAGCTGAGAACTTCCTAGAAGAAACTTTAAGTGGCATATTGCCATGGGGAAATCCTAGTGCCTGATAAGAGCCTGTCTCCTGACTTTTTCCTTCTGCTGTGCATTGCAGTTTGAGCATGGGTGAATGATACCAATGATAAACAGCTAGTTAGGAATTTATAGAGAAAAACAAACAGGAATTCGCCCAAGTTGATATTAGCAGGAGATATATCTTTTTCATATTTTTCATATTTTTTCAACCCCTGGCACCGATAAGGACCACCACTTTTCTCAGAGAAGCAATCAGGAGTCTCTCCAGGGGTTGGAAGCCTGAGGCTCTGTCAGCAATGCAATGAACACTTACAGATGGCCCGGGGTATCCAACCTCTCCTTTCTGACCAGGTGTCCCAGGATCTCCTGCATTTCCCTAGAAAGAGAGAGCAGAGACATTCTCTCCATGAACATCTGCAAGAGGACTCCCAGGAGCATGGGCCAACACTTGAGTGAAAAGACATGTACATCTTTCAGGCTGTTCATGCAGAAAGGAAAAATTATGTCATGGTGCAACTTACTCTGCGGCCTCTGTTTCCTTTAGGGCCAGGGCCTCCAGCACCACCCCGGTCACCAGGTCCACCCTGGTTGGGGAAAAACACAAACAGCAGCTCTAAATCTGCACAGGACCATAGGTAATGGCTACATTGCTCAGAAAATTAATGCATAGCTCACACCATACCTTGGGCCCTGGGTAGCCTATGAAGCCGCGTTCTCCCTGAAACAACATAAAGGTTTACTTGAATATGTTTTAGAAAATGGGCCTGATTCTGCAGGCAGATCTGTAACAACTGAAGGAATTAAATGATGGAGGGAAAAGAGAGATTGCAAATTTATTTTGTGATTTTGTTCCTCATATGATTAATAAAAAGCAAATAACCACTCTTTTTTAAGGTCTGGTTGCTCCTTTAAGGCTAATTTCAACTGTAGAGCAGCTGTCAGAGATGCTGGCACATTGTTTTCAAAGTCCTAAAGACATTCATGGGTCTCTGGCTAAACGGTTCAAAAACATTATGCTTCCTCCTTGGAGAAGCTGGTTTATGTAGGCAAAACCTAGACGAAGGCAGAGGGGAAAGGTTTGAAGAGTCTTGACTGATTTTCTCACCAGGTTACACATAGGACTGATTTTTGTCCCTGTATGTATCTGACTTCACCTAGGCTTTGCCCTTGCCCATCTGCACTGGAGACCTTGGCTACTTCCTTGTCCTTGGTAACCCACGTCGGTAGATGGGCATGCTGAGCATACACCTACCTTTCTGCCTTTAGGACCTGGGCCACCAATTCCATCTCGACCATCATCACCCTAAAATTGGAAAGCCGAAGTCATTAATATGTGAATAGCTTAAACCTCACAGATCCAGCAGCATCAATAGAAAGAATTCACTGATGTCACAGGCTTTTGAGAAGTCCTTCTATAGATGAAATTATTGCAAGAAAAAAAAGCACGAAAAGGTGATGCCAAAACTACAGATCTGAATTCAAACCTGCTTAGTATACACATATAATGTCTAAAACCCAGGTGGAAGCCAGCAATGGGGAGCAGGTTAGGGGGTCAGTCAATGCTAGGGGTGTACTTATAGCTCTGTCTGACTCAAGCTTGTCCTCCCTTGCTTTGCACAAACCATTTTTTCCTCAGCTGACTCCTCATTATACAAAGTAATGGGAATCAGACCCCATGAAAGTGCTCACTTAGTCCATATGAACTTTTTATAGGTTACATTGGACTAGTATATGGGGTCAGCTCAGGGTGTCTACCCATGCCTCATGCAATGAGCCAGGACAAGTACAAGCAAGTCTGGACAGCCTCTGCGCTGTGGACTGATCTCTGAGGTGTTAAAAGTCACTTTTCAAGTGATTATATTTCATCTCCTCGAAGGGACTACTGTTACCAGCTATGCTTATGCCAGCTGAAGACATAAAGATGATTTCCCTCTCTCATATTGTACTATGGAGGACGCAAAGTCCACAGGGGAGCTAAACCCTCTGCTGCTAAGGGCTGTGGCCCAGCTGCCACAGGAGAGGGTCCAGCCCAGCATCCTTAAAGGTGTGAGTGCATGGCCACACTTACCATCTCTCCTCGTGGGCCCTGCTGTCCATTTGGCCCTTTGGGTCCAGGGTTTCCAGGCTCACCCTGAAAACAGGAGCATCTGTTAAAGCATGTGCTGAAACTCCAGGCAACTCCGAGTCTTTCCCACCCCATCAATGCTGGTTTCTTTACATAGACCAGTCTGCAGTGGTCCTTGCAGCAGAAAGTCATGACTGGACCTACATGGCCAGCAATGTTACAAAATGCTTGCTCTTTAGTGGGACCTTTAGTGATTTCAGGAAAGCTGAGCAATGGGACATGGGAGACCAGCCAGCTCCCACCACAGGATGGTGTTTGCTTTTTAGAAACACTGCAAAAATAAAAGCTCCCAAGCTCTGTGGATTTTGCCAGTGCAAACGGACAGTGGACCAGCCATGGAAATGAGCCAGTGTATGTGAATGCGGAGAGATAAAACCATACAGAGGGTCTGGAGAGTTCCAGCACAACCACCTTCCCATGTAGGCATCGGCTGAGAATCTGCCCTGGAAAATTACTTGGGAATCTCAGTTACTCTATTATTTTTGCCTTTCTGTTCAATGAAACGGGAGCCTAACGAAACAAACAGAGCACAGACCTTGCTCTACTCCACATCATGCAAGCCAGAGAAAACGAGCTAATTTCACTCCAAGAGGTTCATCTCAAGTATTTTTTTAAGCTCGCTCCTGTCCAGAAGCTTTTCATTGCTGTTTTAGTTGCTGATGCCCAATGCTCGTGAAGACATACCTTTTGTCCCAGGGGACCAATCCTGCCCCGCTCTCCTGGGGTTCCTGGTGGTCCACCACCAGCCTGGAACAGAAACAGGGAGAGGCCTGTTGGCAATGCATCAAGAAAACTGGGTGCCAGAAGCTAGGGGATTGGGTGACCATAGAAATCATGTATTAACTACTAGGGCTGGTGCCTCTCAAAGCACCTCAGAAAATTCAGAAGT